GCTGGGGGAAGGCGATGTTCTGCTGCTGCGCCTGGATTTTGATGTTGGGCATCCGTGGCAGCACCTCCTCGGGCTCCGGCTTCTCTGGGTGTTTCTGGAGGGGAAAACGAGGCGGGGGATGTAGGGGGGAACAGGCTCACTGGCCGAGCCCAGCCCCTCAGCACCGCTCAGGCCTGTACCTGCTCCGAGGTCTCCGCTGCCCTGCTACAGGGCTCGGCCTCCTTGGCCACGAGGGCTGTCTCCCCTGCGCCCTCCGCTGCAACCCTGCTGGCAGCTCTTTCTAGAGATGGGGAGCTGAGGGGTGAGGGCTGGCACGACTTCCTGCCAGCACAGTGTAGGAAGGACTTCACTGGGGTGAGATCCAGGTACACTCTGTCTTGGTCTCCCTCCGATTTGCTCTCGCTCTTGGGTACTTCCTCCTGCAAAAGGAGAATGTTCCCCTGAAAAGGGACCGTCTGCTGCAGCCAGAAGTACAGGAAACAGCTCACTGCAAAGCAGCAGCAGCTCTGGCCATCTTTTTCCATAGACCTTAGAGAAACTAAAACCCCATTAAGTCATTCTGTATAGGGCATTTTGGTGTACTGAAAGACGGGCTCCTCCCGCTCTCCTTCAGTAGATCTTTCTGAGGGTAGCCGCAGCCCCACAGAAGGATCTCACGCTGTTCTACAGCTGGCAGCCCCTGCCAGATCCTTTGCCTTTCCCAGGATAACAGTCCCATGCCCCCACAGCCCATCCTTCTTGTCCTTACACACAGGCATCAAAAGAACTAAAGACAGCCCAGGCTCTAACCAGCCCTTTATCTGTCACCAAATACTCCATGCCCTTTGCTGGTGCAAACTGTGGGATTTTCTCCCAGCTGCCTGAGGACCCCCACAGCATCCTGCTGGAAACCTCTCTCTATTCCTTACGCCGCTCCCTTCCGCCCTGTGGTGAAGGCCTGGGCTCCCCGGGGAGCCGGGGGTCCCCTCTGCTGCTGGAGCCCGCCCCTGGCCAGACGTTTGCCGTGTCCCCGCAGAGCTCTGCAGCGGGGCACCTACCGTGGGCGGCTCCGGGAGCTCCACG